ACCGAGGGGCCTTGGAGGTCTTCTAGTCCAACCCCTGGTCAAGTCGGAAACATTCTGGACAAAGGGCTGTCCAATCCCTTCTTGAAAAGCTCCAGTGATGGAGCACCCACAACTTCTGAAGGCGAGCCAGTTCCTCTGTTTAATTGTTCTCCCTGTCAGGAAAAACCACCCAGGGAACAACTTGCCTCCAGAAGTTAGGGATAATTTACATCTCACTGGACCTTCTCCCTGGGCTCAGCCGTTCATTTCTGAGATGGGTGGAGAGATCATGTTTATTTCCATCTTGGACCAGCATCATAAAAGAACATGCTGGCCAAACTTTGCAGAAGCAACATCAAGCCAAGGGAAAGAGGTATTATAGTTCAGTGGTAGTGCAGTTAGATTTTTTTTTTTTAATTGGAGACGCAAAGTGCATTTTTGAGACGAGAAAGATTCCATGAGTGACACATTGGTTCAGACAACCTGGATTCACACCCTGGTTTGTTTGCTGAAGCTTCGCGTACCAAACATATGTTATCATACCCAGATGGCCAAGTTAAGTAGGCAGTAAACCTGTTGGCTGCTACACCGTGTGGGAATAGTGACCCGGAAAATTTATGATTATTGTCACATAGGGAAGTGTCAAGATATTAATCACACACAAATATCCGTCACAGCACAAGCACACAAGAAATGTTCCCTTCCTTCCTTGTGAGCTGGGATAAAACAAGGCCTTCGAAATGATAAGAGGAATACAGCCTTTGACTTAACGGCCACAACTGGACTGGAATTTTCACTGCTCAGCAAGGTGCTTGTTAAGGGAGTTGCCCCCAATTTTATGACCTTTCTTGTCATAGTTGTTAAGTGAATCATTGCAGTTAATTAAATCACATGGTCATTAAGCAAATCTGGTTTCCATGGGGGAAGCAGGGAAGGCCGCAGAGGGCGATCACGTGACCCTGCCGCCCTGGTAAATACACACCAGTTGCCAAGCACCCAAATTTCCATAATGTGCATGTGGGGATGCTGTGACAGTCGTAAGGGCGAGGATTGGACACGTGACTTTTTTCAGTGCCGTTGTAATTTCGAACGGATATTAAATGGTCATTACCATTTAATGCAATATGACTGGCTAGATGAAACTGGAGGTTGTCCTCCACCCCCAATTTCAATGGGACACCCACACGGCACACTCAAAGGTTAGGATTCACATACTACGTTGAGACCTGGTTTAACCTTCTAAAACATTTTCTAAAAAATGAACTTCTAATTAACTTTTGAACAGTTGACTTTCACAACATAATAAGCCAAGAACAATCAATATTATCACTTAGTGCAAGGTGTGAATCACACCTTATTCTAGACGTGATTTATCAGGATATTCCTGAAAGCAGTTTGCTCAGTTCAATTGTTCTCGTATGGTTGATCTTGAAAGTTCCTCTATGTGCTCCCTGTTCATACACATTTATGTAGAAGTAACCATTGTTCCTTGGTGGGGGGTTGCCTGCAGGTATATTTTCCATCCTTTCTGAAGTGTCTTGATACCCACATGTGGCTTTAATAGCTCTGGGACGTGGAGTCCTTGACGCTCTCTGAGCTGGCGATTTGCAGACATTTCAGGACCCAACTAGGTAACATTATCAGTACTAGAAGAGAGCAGGGTTTGCAGAGACGAGGAAAAGGAGCGGACTGTGGGTTTTTTGGCGCTCTCTGAGCTTGGTGGTTCGCTGGCAGGTATTTCATGACCCAGGTAGGTAACATCATCAGTGCCCTTCTGTGTTATAAAGTATTCTTGACTTTAAAAACTCTTCCTTCTCTTTTACCTAGGAAACAAGTTACTCCGTATCTCCATCAAGGTCAACTTTCTTACTTTCTCCACCTACTAAGCCCTCCTGGTCCCCACTTGGATCTTTTCCTTGGGCAATAGGCAGCATCTCCAGATAATTTAGGGGGCGGGGAGCTCAAGGACCACTTAATTTCTACCTCTCCGTTCTGCCACCTGCTTAATCGTAGGACCAACCTCGATCTACTTTCTTGAGCAAAATCTTGAACTCACAAATGAAGGTCTCTGTGTCCGGGGATTCTTAGAATTAAGACAAGTCTTCCTTCTTTACCATCCCATAGAAAACAATCGCTGCTTATCTGTCACATTCTCGTAAGGGCAGAGCGCCATCTAGCGGGGGGTCTCTGGAAAACCCCTTGAAAGCTGAATTTCTTTCTTATATTCTCAGGTACCACCAGCCTTAGCATCAGCCAACTAAAGTAACTTGTGATAGGGGAAAATAAATAAATACAGGTAAAAACTCAGTGTTCGTTCGTATTGCAGAGTCCCGTGTTTTCTTGCCTGTACAGGATCCTGAGTGCATTAGTGCAAAATTAACGTACTTCCTCTGGTACTCTCTCTGAGCGAAGAAGATATTTCAAGAAGGTGAAATCCAGTTTTGCAGACTTCAAGTCTTTCCCCAAGGCTGGGTGGGCCCCAAATTCCCTTTTCCAAAGCCTCTGTTTGAGACCTTAGCGCCACGGGACGGGGGTGAGCTCCCGTTACTTGCTCAGCTCCTGCCAATCTAGCAGTTCGAAAGCAGGCAAATGTTGAGTAGATAAATAGGTGCCACTTCGGTGGGAAGGTAACAATGCTCCGCGATGTCATGCTTGCCACAGAAGTGACTTCGGACAGCGCTGGCTCAATGGCCTTGAAACAAAGATGAGCATCGCTCCCTACAGTCGGCAACGACTAGCGGAGTAAAATCCACAGGGACTATTTTGTATATGCCACTAGGACACTCATATTCTCCTTCATTGGCACTCCTATATTTGTTACAATGCAGCAGACTTCCAGTTTCTACTAAAGTCGCAGAAAATCTTGTCTGGATTTACATCAGACCAAAGATGATGTAAAGGGGAAGATTAATGGCAGCTGCAAAAATCTACAATTTCAGTCTTCTGCTCGGAAGGAACAAAGAAAAACTTATACCGACCTAAGTTTCGTTTTGTTAGCGGTAAAGCTTGCAATTATGATCTTAGCTCTGCGTTCTTAAGCCTAACATAATCACCACAGGTAGTCCTCGACTCACAACCAATTGCTTGGCAACCATTCAAAGTTACAACAGACATCTAAGACTGTTGTTCTGTCCTGGGGGGGGGGGGGAAGGGAATGATCTTTGCAGACAATGAATTCATTGCAATTGACNGCAAAAGTGGCTACAAAATTGGGCAGTTATGTGGCGACCTGCTCAATGACAGGCCTGACGTACGCCTGTAATTCCAAGCTCAATTATGGTCATAAGTCAAGAATTACCTGCATACAGATGGTAGATTTGTAAGTTGAAATTGAAAAAGGATGCCAATAAATTGGCAAAGACAAAACCCACTAGAAAGATCCAGATCCAGATCATACAATTATTTATACAACTCCAGTATTTTATTTTTCAGAGCAGAAGACCCCCTAGGTTTAAAAGACAATAGACGTTTATAATTTTGAGAATATATTGTATATCCCTCAAAATGATTCCTGGGGTCTTTTCAATTCACAAAATTGGTGGCTACTGTGTATATTTCCCCCCACTTTTATCTTTGTTCCAAATACCACCATGGACAGTTCTATTTTCTAAGACCTGCCTATGAAGTTATGTAAGATTTAGAGGAGCTGCTGACATGCCAGCTTCTTTTTGTTTGAAGCCTTGAGTCTTATCAATGCAATAACTCCCAAACACTTGCAAACAATCTCAGTTTAATAAAATTAAGCTGCAATATATTAAACTTTTGTTTAATAAATGTACAAGAAAAAAAAGTTCAGCCATCATGTGACTGTCCTTGTGAAATTTGAGTAGATAGAAACAGAAAGCATCCAGGTTATAATCCACAATAGAGAAAACACACCCTTTTCAGCATCATCCTGAAATCCAAACACAGAAATGGGAAAATGTTTGTATATGCAAAATAATCCCTGAGTGGAAAAGAATGACTTTGGAAAAATCATGCAATTCTAGGAATTCCAGGCAAAGAGGCTTAAGTGGGGGGAAAAAAAATAATCTTGAGCATTGCAAGCAGACCAATTAATCAGAACCCAAAAGAAATAATTGTCTTTTGCTTGTACTAAAATGTCGAAGTTAAATGCAGGTGTTAAAGGATTTTTTTCCCCTCCAGAGACACTCCGGGCATCTACAGGTGAATCACAACCATACTTAATTTGCATCAGTCACAGCAATTGTGTAGTGGCAACTCCCGCTCTCATTCTGATGTTATACTGCAGCTTCCAACATCCACACAATCTTTTGATTATAAGATGCTAGAAATATCACAGCCTGGGTTCAAAAACTTCTACGTGTAAAATGAACAGCTGCAGTAATTTGGGGGGATCCTCTTGCCCCCCCCCCCCCGACTCATCTTGGGATTTGGACTGTCCAAACTCAGGGGCAAAGGTTACCGACAAAATAGCCCTTCTTTTCCAAGTGTAGGCGCCTCCAGTTCACGGTATTTATGCTTCACCCAACTTCAGATTCAGACCAATTTTTATCCCCAAACTTGGATCCATTTTTTAAAAATTTGTATCCCAGAAAGCACTATTAATTCACAATTATGTATGGCTAATAGGCAGGCAGGGAATCAGCCTGAGAATCTGCATGGAGGGAAGGAAGGATTGTTCACAAGTCTCCTTTTGCACAAATCCCATTCTCTTTTTTTTAAGTTTGAAATGTAAGGACAGGAAGAACTTATAGATTAACTAGACTGCTGGCAAAATAGAAAGCGGCTTGAAAGAAGTCATATTTGCAACTTGATCTATCAGAAGACACGCCTCCAGGCCTCGTCTCGACGTACTAAATTGGCAAAATAGGAAACCTGCTCGTGCTTGAAGCCTAGGAAAATACTTTCGGCTACACTTGTGTAGCAGGGGTGGGCAATTATGGACCCTTTACTGCATTGCGGACTTCAACTCCCAGAATTCCAGAGCCTTCAACTCCCAGAATTCACAAGCCAGCATGGCTGGCTCGGGAATTCTAGGAGTTAAAGTCGGCAAGTCATAAAGGGGCCGTATAGTTCCCTGCCCCTGTTGCGTAGCATTAATAGGCTTGACTGTTACCTTCTGTGGCAAGCTATTTACACCTTATCTTTTACACGTGTTGTCAGCAATTAAGCCCAGCTTTTTCTTCATTTTTTGGCATTAACTTCCCCTGCACGGTTTTTCTAATATGGCTGGTTGCGCAAGACTGCGCGCTCCGCGTACGCGAGCCCGAGATCCGCTCCAAATGGAATCGAGTGATCCTGGCAGAAGGAGTCTGCCTCTCTTGCACTTGGCCCCCAAGACAGCCGAGGTACAAAACGTCACACCGCCCTCAAGCCATGGCTTCAGTGATCTATTGTTCGTGTCCGTGAAGCTCTGAGCTAGCATCACCTCGTTGCACCTTCAGCCACATCTGTCTTTAAGCTTCAAAGCCTACATTCGCCCTCTTTCACCCAACCATCCTTGGCCACGTTTGGGCAGGCATGCCAGCTCGTGTCCGGACCGGCCTCGGTAGTCAAGAAAGAGGAAGTTATGTGCCCAGTTAGTTTGCCACAGCTGGAGGCCCCTCTGGCAGAAGGGAGGCAAAGAAGGTCTTGAAGAAAAGCCACGCTGTGCTCATGAAGGAAACGGCTGGCGCCGGCTGGACCTCGCCCGGAGGCTGGACCTCGCCTGGGGCCTCCGAATCCTCCGTTTCATTTTGTTCTCTTGGGTTCTCCTCCTGCTGAGATTGGGGGGGGGGGGGGAGAAACAAAGTTTAATTACACGGATACTTCCTTCTAGGAGTCTCCAACTGTTGGCATGGTTTAACGAGGCTGAAGTTGAACATTTTTTTCCCCTTTTGGTGGACTTTAGGCAAAATCCCTGCAAGCATCCTACGTTGACATCATCGTAAATTTCCTGAATGTAGGTTGTGCCTGACAACAGGGGTCCCCAACCTGTGGGGCCCTGGCCCACTACCGGGCCGCGGCCTATTGGTCATCAGGCCGCCTGAGTGGCTGGCTGGTGTGTGCATGTATGTGTGCAGCCCCACTTGCGCGAGCGTTACCAATGTTGGTGGTCCCACTCGCACAAAGTGTTTGCGAGTGCACACCCATGTGTTCACCCCCCCACAAAACCATCCCTTCTTTCTCTCCCCCCCCCCGAAAGGTTGAGGAACTCTGCCTTACAACCACAGCTAAGCCCAAAATTTGTTAACTGAGTTTTGCCCCCGTTTTACGACTTTTCTTGCCACAGTTGTTAAATGAATCGCTGCAGTTAGCTTAGTGGAACGGTTAAATGAATTGACTTTGCTTGTCAGAAAGTTGCAAAAACTGCAGTCACGCTGAGGGGGAAAGGGAGAGGTTTCCAAGCTGAGCCATGCTGGCTCAGGAATTCTGGGAGTTGAAGTCCACGAGTCATGAGGGGGCCATAGTTCCCTCATGCTGGGTCAGGAATTCTGGGAGTTGAAGTCCACGAGTCATGAAGGAGCCATAGTTCCCTCATGCTGGCTCAGGAATTCTGGGAGTTGAAGTCTACGAGTCATGAGGGGGCCATAGTTCCCCCATGCTGGCTCAGGAATTCTGGGAGTTGAAGTCCACGAGTCATGAGGGGGCCATAGTTCCCCCATGCTGGCTCAGGAATTCTGGGAGTTGAAGTCCACGAGTCATGAGGGGGCCATAGTTCCCCCATGTTGGCTGAGGAATTCTGGGAGTTGAAGTCCACGAGTCATGAGGGGGCCATAGTTCCCCCATGCTGGCTCAGGAATTCTGGGAGTTGAAGTCCACGAGTCATGAGGGGGCCATAGTTCCCCCATGCTGGCTCAGGAATTCTGGGAGTTGAAGTCCACGAGTCATGAGGGGGCCATAGTTCCCCCATGCTGGCTCAGGAATTCTGGGAGTCGAAGTCCACGAGTCGTAAAAGAGCCGAGGTTGCCCACCCCAGCTCTAGGTTAATTCTGAAAACCAAAGTTTTATGATACTCTCCTTTAGGCATGAAACCTACTTGTTGTAAATTGTTGTTCTGATCTTGATTAACAGCAGCTTGGACAGGAATGTTGTTCGGCGGTGGCTGGACTGGCCTTCGTCTGAAAGGGAACCAGCCAACCTGGTGTCTAAGAAGGGAAGACATCTGTTAAAGGCAAAACCCTCTTGAGCCACCATCAATTTCTATCTTTTACAGGGGGACCTATATATCTGACGCAGACGTGGACAGCCACTGCCCTTTCCAGCAGGCTTCCAGACTAGTCAAATATTCTCGATTTTAGTAAATTTCCTCCGAATACAGGTAGTCCTAACTTATGACCACAATCGACCCCAGTGAGACAGTTGAGTTTTGCCCCATTCTATAACCCAGGGGTGGGCAACCTCGGCTCTTTTAGGACTGGTGGACTTCAACTCCCAGCATTCCTGAGCCAGCCAAGCTGAGGGGAAAGGGAGGTTTCCAAGCTGAGCCACGCTGGCTCAGGAATTCTGGGAGTTGAAGTCCACCAGTCATAAAAGAGCCGAGGTTGCCCAGCCCTGCTATAACCTTTCTTGTTACAATTGTTAAGGGAATCACTGCAGTTGTTCAGTTATTAACACAACCATTAAGCAAAATCAATGGGGAAGTTTACAAAAGGTGATCCCGTGACCCTGGGACACTGCAATCGTCATAAATACAGGTAATCCTCGATGTACGACCAGAACTGAGCCCAACATTTCTGCTGCTAAGTGAAACATTGCCCCATTTTACGTCCTTTCTTGCCACACCTGTTAAGTGAAACACCGCTGTTGCTGAGTTAGTAAACACAGTTGTTCAGCGAGTCTGGTTTCTCCACTGACTTTGTCCGAGGGTCACTAAATGACCCCAGGGGACACTGCAACCGTCATAAACACGAATCAGTGGCCAACTGTCCCAAATTTTGATCACATGACTATGGAGGGAATGCTGCAACAGTTGTTAAGTGTGAAAAATGTCGCTTTTTCGGTGCCGTTGCAACTTTGAACGGTCACTAAATGAATTGTTGTTGAGGACTACCTGGAGGTGAATTCAAGCCATATGCAGGAACCACACACACACACACACACACACACAGGATTTCCAGCCCAGCCCAAGTGGACTCACAGGTACATGAGGAGGGTGCCGCCCATCACCAAAAGGAACCGGCTCATGCTGGAGTAGAAGTAAACGATGTTGACGAAGACGTAGAAGAGGGTGGCCGAGTAGAGCCAGTCCAGCCAATCGCGGTTGACTTCTTCGTCTTCCTCCATGAGGGGCCCCCCCTGGGCATTCATGCGCAGGTTGGGGTTCACTCCGGGGTTGGCTTGAGGGGGGGCATTTTGATCCACGGGGGGGTTCTCGGCAGGGAACGGACCGGGAAGGGGAGCTGTGGGGGCCACCGGAGCCACCGAGATCTCCTGGGAACTCCTGGCGGAGAAGTCGCCCGAATGAGCGTTGGCAGCCATGCTGGAGAGAAAATGGGACATCAAGACGCTTTTCTCGTGCTGAAAGGACAGCGCGGCTAGATGCGCTTGACCGCACGAGGGCAGCGGTTGGTGAAATAGAAATGTACCCTAAATTATAAAATTTGGGATGGGGGGGGGAGGAAATGCTGGCTGGGGAATTCTGGGAATTTTAAGTCCACAGGTCTTGAGAAACCCTGACCCTCCTGGAATCCGTATGCAAATGGCAAAATTCTGCATTACCACAATTGTGGCTAATGATTTTCTCACCACTTTTTGCCACACGGGCCAATTTATGAAGTCTGATTTTTTTTTTAATTATCATTTTTCTTTTTTGTATATTGTCTCTATCCGGCTGTCATCTTTTTCTGTTAGTCTTTGGCTGGGTTATTATAAAGCCAGCGCGGACACCTAGTCTCAAAACACTGACGCTGTTCACCTGTATCGACAGCTTCATATCACCAGGGTTGGGGGGTTTTTTTTGAAAAACGTGCCGTGAATTTTATGGGCTTAGCGTGTAACTTCAGGCATAAAGAGTAAACGTGAAACTTACTACTGCATGTAGTATTGCCTTGTGTAAAACTGATGGAACCAGAGCTGCAGCATGTGATATGCTGTGTAGGATGAATAACTGGAGCTCACAGTTGGAAAGGGATGCTGAGTCATCGGAGACCTGGTTTAGGAGACAGAATGCGGCCGTTACAGTCAGTCTTCCAGTTACGAACTATAACTGAACCGACCCCATTTCACAACCATTTTTGTGGTGGTCGTTAAGCGGGCCCATCGTTGGGCTATGGGGCTGTTTCTTGGCAGAAATGTGAAGCAAATGCCGATTTCCTGCCAAACCATTTTAAATCATGGTCAGGGGACCTGGGGTACTGCAAACCTTGTTAAATGCAAGCCAACTGCAGAGCACCCAACGTGGTCATGTGATTGCATGGGGGGGGGAAGACTATGTCAGAACTTCAAAGCTGGACCCTAAGCCCCTTTTGGGGAGGGATAGGTCTGTTGCAGTTGCTAAGCAACCAATCTTTAAAAGCCAAGGACTTCCTGTATTTCCCCCCCTCCTTTAAAACCTTCAGTAAGGGTTAAGCTGTAAGCTTTCTGAACAAAAAATTTTGGTTTATGTACCCCGTTTCCAAAATTTAACATTACAGTCAGCTTGTTCCATTTGTTCATGGAAGGAAAGCGCGCAAGAGCTAGCCAATTTCATCAACACAGTTGAGACATTGATGGGATATAAAAAAAATGAAATCCCAGAGCTTGGAAAGGCAAACAGACGTCCCAGAAGCAAGTAGAAGGCCTTTGTACCGAGGCCAGGAAACAACGTGGATGTACCCACAAAGTCACCAAGCCTGGAGTTCAAATCACAGACGGCTGCAAGTTGAGTCATGGCAACGGGACCCGTTTCCAACCCAAAAAAGGAAAGTCCAGTTGCTATGATTCAACTTCCAGACTTGGAGGGCTGAGAATCTTCATTGTCTTCGACCCCAAAATAAGAATTTGGATGCTCAAACGTACCTTGTGGCAGCTTCCTCTGTGGTCACAGACGGGCCTGGGGGAGCCTCTTCTCGGCTGGGAGCAGACCCTGGAGGAAGATCCGAAGGGTTCTGGCCCGATGCAGTGGACTGCTGCTGGGCCTCAGCCACCTAAAACACAAGGAATTTACCGCTGCATTTTAAAACAGGCTTCAAAATGTCTGCTCCGAGTATTCACCTCCATTTCAGAGCCACCCAGAGCCCTCTAAAGCTTCTGTGGACTGGCTGGCTGAGGAATTCTGGGAATTGAAGTCCACAAGTCTTAAAGCCACCATGTTTGCAGACCCCTGCTGTAAAGCAAAGGATTCCGTCTTGTTGGGAAAGCAAAGGCAATGAGGAAAGGATGCAACCCACACCTATCACAAGATCCTCCCTCACCTGACCGACCACACAAAGCCCTTATGAACAGAAGAATACCAACACTGATAGACTCCACTGAAGATGTTACCTAGACTGGTAATGAAAAGTTCGGAGGCCAACCCACAAGCTTGGAGAACGAACCTCCACCCTCAGGAAAGGATAACTCAATTGTTGGGGGGGAAAAACCCACCCATATCCCGAGACTGTGAAGTTTGGGCTTCTCCAACGTCCCCAATTCTACCTATAGAATCACGGCTATGTTCACCTGTTCTGCTAAGCCAAACACAACCAGGAAGCCCTTCTGAGGTCGCACAACACGGAAATTGGGCCATTGTGATCAACAAACCAAAACTGGAACTATTCTGGCTTTCCGTGAGCTCAGTCTGATTTACTACATCCTAGAACATTCTCAACCTTGACAACTTTAAGACGCGTGGACTTCAACTCCCAGAATTCCCCAGCCAGCCAGCCAGAATTGAATTCCACACATCTTAAAAGTTGCCAAGGTTGAGAAACAGTCCTAGAATGGTTTCCTATAGACCCAATTCCCTCCTTTTAGTACTGCTGGTCGAGAAAACATAACCCTCCCTTCAGGTGGTTCACCTGTGGAAGAACTTACATCCAGCCATCCGCTGTGCCTTTTGACATCAGTCCCCACCTCCACCGAAAAATCCCCATAATGGGTCGGTACAATATAAAAATCTTGCCAAGATCACAAAATATATGATAAAAGTCAGTGAGAAGCTAACATCTCGAAGGATCGCTTCTCAATACCTTCACGTCAGTTCCTTGCATCTTGGGCAGATTCTTGGAGTTGCACACCAAATGGAGAGCGTGAACCGTCTCCTGCTGAAACAGAAAGCGTATTAAAGCGTCAAATGGGAACTCTGGGGAGACATTTTCTTGATCTTCCATCAACTGCTGGAAGCAAGGCTAGCAGGTCAAACGCCACGTACCTTGGTGAGGACTTCTTGCAGAAAAAGATGGTCGTGCAACAACTTTCCAGAATAAATCAACCTCTGAGTGTCTTCAGGCTTTGAAGGGAAAAAAGACAGCAGTTAAAATGGTGGGTTTTTTTTCTTTTCTTTTCTTTTTTAAGAATAAGATTCCTCATTCTTGTAAATGTGCAAGCGTGGATTCTTGTTCTTAAATTATAAACAGCCGATCTTTGGACAACTGGCTAAGCGATGACCTTGAGGTCACTTCTCATGAGGAAAACTTTTCCCTTTTGAATGAGATTCCAGCTGGATTCCAGTTGTTTCTTCCGTGGCTGAACTGTAGTTGCAGATGGGGATATTGTGTCTTTCATCAATAGGCTTAAAAGATCAGTTAAATCATTGCAACGGATGCCAATTGCACAGAAGAGTTTACAGAAGGAGCTGATTGTAAATAAAGACAATATATTTCAATATATTCTAGAGAGCAACTATTTTTTTAAAAAAGGAAGCTATTTAAGATTTGTTCTCTATTCCCCTGTATCTGGGGGGTCTTCAAACTTGGCCCTTTTATGACTTGTGGACTTCAACTCCCAGAATTCCTCAGCCAGGCACTTCTGAAGCCAGGTAAGACTGAACACCTTGGGAGAATATCAAGCTTTTGCAATTATTACCAACCTAAGGCCAAATTTGTAGGCATTTATGTTAATCATTGACATCTTTCAGGAAGCTTCATCATGCCACCTTTTCTTTTGATCATATTAATTAGCAGTTCATAGTAGATTTCTATAAGACTCTTAACCTTCAGATAACCCCATTTCACTGCTGTTATTTTGGATGTAAAGAATTCTGGATGTAAAGACCGGCTTCTACTAGCCCAGTGGTTCTCAACCTTTTTAATGCCGCGACCCCCAACCGGTCGTAAGTCGAGGACTAAACCGGTCGTAAGTCGAGGACTACCCAACCGGTCGTAAGTCGAGGACTTTCCCTGCCCGGGAGCGCCGCGCATGCGTGGTTCCGCCCCCTGCGCCGGCCGAGGCGTAGCTGGCAAGCGGCAGACGGAGCAGGCCGACCACCAGCTGGCCCAGCCCAAGGGAGGTAAGGCACCCGCCGGAAAAGGGGAAAAAAATGGCGGACAAAAAAAAATGGCAGACAGCCTTGCTTGGCGACCCCCGTGAAATGGTCGATCGACCCCAAATGGGGTCGCGACCCATAGGTTGAGAACCGCTGTACTAGCCTTTTCCAACCAGAAGTTTTTCAGTGAGAAGTAAGCCCACACAAAAATAACAAACAAAACATGTGGAGGCTATCAATCTGGGGAACTGGTTGTTCTGCATGTTTGGTTTTGTAGTGCTGGCACTTTTATGGGCATTGTAAAACATGTTTCCCTGCTCCAAGCTTCTCTAGAGAAATCCCTGGGCGGAAGACTGAGCACAAACTCAAAGCAGAAAGGGTCAAATCCTAACACAACACCATCGCACGATCAACAGGCTACGTTGCAGGTCAGGGTTCTCAAAAGGTCATTGGGGCTAGCTGGCATGCAAGGCCAAAAGGCAAAACAGATGGGCCATGAGCAACATCGAGTGGCACCACCCAGCCTACATCACCAGCGGCCTTGGGGAGTGAGGGTTGCTGCAAAATAACTTCCCAAAAGCCAGGGAAGGTCACACACACCACCCAGTCTTGGGACACTTTTATCTTACCACAACCCATTGCATTGTTTTAAGATTGTTCTTTCATTCCTTTGCCTTTCCTGTACAACTTTTATGGCCCTTTACTCCTGTTCCAGCAGGCAAGATGCAGGCAGTTCCAATGGAGGCTTATCTTGTTATTAAATGGCCAAAGTATTTAGCCTTGTGCGTATCAGGCAAAGGGAGATAGTTTCCAAAATACAGAAACACACAAACATTATGAAACTGTACCGAAACCTCTTCTCCTCCTTTCGAGTGATCTTTAAACAAATAAAATACTGCCAAGTTGGCTCAGCTGCATCATCTGCTCTGCAAAGCAAATCGAGTCAGAATGATTTGTTTTGTAGGAGGAAAGATACAAAAAAGCAGCCATAAACTATATTTTTTTTCTACTTCAAACACTAACTTTTAGAAAGACGCCTAAAATTTCTGAGTATCAACAGCAAGCAACCAAAGCTGTTCACAGAAAGATGCTTTGGGCGGAAAAAATGGAAATATGGGGAGTTTTACTGCAAATGAGGAACAGATAAAAATATGCCAAGGACAAAATGTTATTCTTTTTCCAATCAGATGGCCCAGTCTATAAATGTTTTGTAATAAATGTACTGATTGCTGATGTGGAGAAAGCACCTCACTTTGGGCCTTGTGTCCTGGAGAGCTACAATTCTCACAAGCAAGACGCCAGCAACCACAAGGAAATATTGAAAGTTCTGATCTGACGAATAGCGGACATGAAAAGGTCCTTAGAGATCTTCTAGTCCAACCCCCTGCTGAAGCAGAGACTCTTAAGACCATTCTGTAGAAATGGCTGTCCAGTCTCTTCTTAAAAACCTCCAGTGATGGAGCACCCACAAGGTCTGGAGGCAATTGTTCTCCAAACACCAACACGCCCAGTGAAATGTCATCATGCTAAACAATATTAACAATTTCCATGAAAATATTGCAGGAAAAACGGATCGGACTGGTTCCCCACAGAGCCAACCCACACAGCAAGGATTTTTATTTATTATTTTTGGGAGGGGAACGCCTTCTACAGCCAAACCTAACTCAAAAGGGGTAAAAAATCAAGCTAAATCCTTGCCCACTACTCAGATTTTTTTAAAGAGAAAATTCAAAATACACAAGGGACATCTCTGGTAGGCAGTGCCAGGAATGACTTGAGAGATTCCTTTAAAATTTTGGAACAGGCCACCCAACTCCGGGGGCTGATCCGTGTTACCTTGCCAGGCTCAGACCCTGCTTAGCACTGGGGTAGGAGGCCACCAGGAAATCAACAAACTGGAACAGAAGCCATTTCAGAGAAAAGTGACTTCCTAGTCACTGGAGCACATCAGCAGTCGCTGGAGAAAAACTTCCTGCCTGCCTGGCAACTTCTCTCTCAGAAACACAATAAATCGACAATGCAAGGAACTCCTTTTTTTCCAGACCAACAAAACAAGGTCCTTGCTCTGAATCCTGGGCCAGAGGCCAATGCACTCTGTGCATGCTCAGAAAGGCACAGGAATAAAGCAACCCTGCAAGGAACTGCGCATTCTTTCTTTCTTTCTTTCTTTCTTTCTTTCTTTCGTTCTTCAAATGCAACCTTTGAAAGCTCTGCATTTTACCCAGCAGAGAGGAAATGCACTCTGCACTTGCTCAGGAGCTCCATCCTCTGACCTAGCAAGGAGGCCAACCGGGCTGGGTGGGGAGGAGACTCAAGAGACCATCCCCTAGCCAGGTCCAAAGGGCTTCCATGCCGGCAGGGGACAACTCCCATCATCCCCAGCCGCGCCACTCTACCGTCCCAACGGCGATGGGGGAGCAAAGGACGTCCAAGCCCAACCACCCACCCACCCGAAAAAAGCAGGAAAAGGCGCTTAAGCGGCTTTCGAAACCCGCTTCCTCCCGAGCCCCAGCCAGCTAGGCCAGCCTTCGGCCTCGGGCTCCTCCCTAGAAACCCACCCAGAGGCCCGCAAGTCTTGGCACGCCATCCCCAGCCAGCAAACCGAAGTGGGGTAGACTGCGCCCATCCGAGGAGGCTCCACTTCGCGCAAGGGGAAGGGAGGGGGGGAAGAGAGAGCGAGAGAAGCTGGCCGAGTGCGCATGCGCGTTCCAAAGCTCACCGGCTCATCCGGGTGAAGGTGTCGCAGCTCCGCCTTGAGGCGCCGGACGCTCCAGGAGCGCCGGGCCGACAGGAGCAGGTCCGGGTGGCGCTGCGCGGGGCTCTTGACGACGAGGCCCACCTCGTCCGCCGCCGCTTCTTCCTCGCCTTGCCGGCTTTCCATGTCCTCCGCGGCCTCCAAAGCCCTTCAACTCCCCACAGGCGCTTCTCGCTCTACGACGACGACGACAGCGGCGCTGGGGCGGCGACGGCTGCCTTTATAGCCTCGCGGGCGGCTCAGGCCACGCCCCCGCATTGTCGCGACGTCGCTGTGGCCGCCGGGGATTGGCCGTCAGGACGACCTCGGGTCAGACGTGGGCCTATCAGGAGAGGCCGCTGGCGGGAAAGGATGGAAAGGAAGACGCGATAGGGCGGGAGGAGGCCGAAACGGGACTTGTCAATCCGGAGGCGGGAGGTTGAGCTTGGTTGGTACACAAGCACACATCGTCCCCTATTGGACTACCACTCCCAGAATTCCTCGCCCCTGGCTTGGTCGGCAGGGGTGGACGGGAGTTGAAGTCCACAGTCTCTGCAGGCTTCCGCATTTCGTAACCGTGTTTACTGTTGCTGCTGCTGCGTTCCCATAAGAAATCAAGGCTAAACTAAAATTAGGTTGCTTGTGAGTCAGCAGCCTGTGGTGGGGGAATGCAGCCCTTGCCTTAAAACGAGGCGTGGGCCAGGCAGTCCCATTAAATTGCAATGTGCTGCGTTTGGACATTGTGTAAAATTGAATGCAGCAACTCTGTTTTGCAGCCTTTTAGCTCTTTAACCCTGGCAGCTTTGGCTTTTAAACTGGGGCTTGGCAGCTGGAAACTGGGATGGAGAAGAATATTGGAAGTCGTCTTATTGAAGTCGTCTTCAAGTATCTTTATGTATCTCATCATTGCCTAGTCCTTCTTTTTACTAGGTTAGCCATACCCAATTCCTGCAACCACTTTATCATATCTTTTAATCTCCAAACCCCAAATCGTTTTTGTGGCTCTTCTGTGCACTCTTTCCAAGGTCTCACCATCTTTTTTATAATGTGGTGAGCAAAACTGGATGCAGTATTAGAGAAGACGAGGAGAACCTTCCCAGTTCTTATTTCCCAGGGGAAATTAGAGGACCTTGGTCAATCGCAGGGACCAGAGTCCCTTGATGAAGTTGGGCGGCCATAGAAATCGAATGGATGGATGGATGAATAAGACTCAGCCTATTGACACACACAGGCACACAAAGGGAGACCCATCTATTTGGGGCAAGTGAAGAAAACCCCAAGGAAAAAAAGGAATCAGTCACACTGTGTTCCATCCCTTGATTTACCCACATAAATTAACCATCTTAACCAGGGAGCCACTTCAAACATTTCGTATTGCCCAACTAATGCTATTTGGCTTTTCTTTAATCTGGTACTGATCACAAGCACAAAGAGTGATTTTTTTCCCTCCCACAAAAGCTCTTTTATTATACAAAATCAAAGGCCTGTGCTTGACTTCCAACCTCCATGCTAAGGCTGCCCATTGTTTCTCTAGTTCCCTCCTTATTTTAATCTAGAGTCTTCAGATCATTTTACATTGACAAGGATTTGCTATTTACTTTAATATGTAAATGTCTATCTCAGCCTTTTATCTCCATGTTCCTATCTGTTCTGCTTGTAGCTGATGTTTTCCTATCTTATCTACAGGATTTGTTAAGCTCCTTAGAGCCAAGCTCAGCTCGTTTGCATTTGAAAATCCTTCTCTATAGACTGGCAAATGCAGATTGTCTCTCCCACCCCCTGCCCCACAGCTGAGAGTCCTCTTTGAACTGATTTGTGGGGCTCTTGTCACTGAAATGCTGCAAGCTGTGGGCCTGTTTTGGGACTTTTGCAGATTCTGATCTGGTTTTTTGCCTACCTCTCAGGTTTAAATCCTGAGAGGATTAGTTTTCTTCTATTGTCTGGAGTACTGCTTTTCAACCTTGACTACTTTAAGATGGGTGGACTTCAACTCCCAGAATTCCCCAGCTAGCATGCTGTGAGATGAGAGGAATACAGCTCCCAGAATTCCTCAGCCAGCATGCTTTAATATGAATGGACCAACTCCCAGAATGCCCTAGCCAGCCCTAAAGCATTTCTGGCTGGGACATTCTGGGAGTTGAAGCCCACCCATCTTCAATTTGCCAAGGTTGAGAAACAGGACTGTAGATCTCTGTCCGTGTTGGCATGTACAAATCTGGAATGGTAACTTTCAGCCAGGTATCTTGGCATAGAATTAATGGCTGAGTGAACTTGTTAGGCGAGTCTGAAATAATTGCATCATTCTAAGCTGAAGCAAGAACCGGGCAACTTTTTATTTCTTTTTAATTGCCTTTATAAAAATAACACAAAAAGAAAAGGCTCTCAATCATTATAATGCTAATACGAACGTTTTGAAAGAAAAAAAAGGTACACATAAAAAGTGCTTTAAAAAGTGAAAAAAAAATAGAACAGATAAAAGAAAACAATACGATATATCATTAGAGCAATTAACAGTTACATAAGAGTGGAGCAACTTATTGTTTCATTTAGTTTTTACATCCACTTTCTATGCCAGAAACCAATTTAACTATTTCAATTTCAGTCTTGTGGATCTTGTAAGATCTTTCTCCAGTCAAATGAGCCAGAAATCAAAATAGTAACTCAAGAGATAAGAAATAACATTCAATATTGAATGTTTCGAAGTGAGGAAGCAATTAAAACTACCTTAGATCTTTATTTATTTATTTTTGCTTTTTTACTCACTGTTAAGCACTTTGTTGGCATTTTCCTACCAGGGGAGATTCTTATTAGTTTATTTATTTCAACTCTGGGTGACTTACAATTACAAAAATAATAAACAGCCTCATAAACAGAAAGAATTCATGGACAGTCCCAAGAGAGAGAGATGTGCCAAAATCCTATTCAAGAGGGGTTCAGTGATCACCTTGTTTAATACCCGAGAGAACAACTAAATTAACGATTATTGGAGTGTCATCAGGGTGGGAGTTATCCAGTAATCATTCCAAAGTATGGGTGTCATGACAGACAAGGCACGTCAGCAACATCCCACTAGATGACAATTTAATCCAGTGTTTCTACACCTCAGCAGCTTTAAGGTGTGTGGAGTTCAGCTCCCAGAATTCTCTAGCCAGCATTTTCCTGAGGAATTCTGGGAGCTGAAGTCCACCCACCTCAGAGCATGCTGGCTGAAGAATTCTGGGAGCTGAAGTCCACCCACCTCACAGCATGCTGGCTGGGGAATTCTGGGAATTGAAGTCCACCCATCTTAAAGTTGCCACGGTTGAGAAACACTGTTCTAGCAACATAATAGTTCTGCTGGTTTTAAAAAATGGTCTTCTCCAGTAAGTTGCTGGCATTACCAAACAGCAGAGATCTTTTGCCAACAGCAAGATTTGCAGAAAGGATGTTGTTCAGAAGCAGTCCCAGGCCAGAGCGATATAATTGTTATGGGTTTATGGAAGAAATTCACCTGGAGATAGTTACCTGCATTTCAAGGTGCGCCCTGTAATTTGCAGCCTTATGTGACTTATTGCCTTTCTGGATAGAACCAGGTGCTGCTTTCACATTGTGTAAGAGAGGAAGCGTGGTCCAGGTTAAGTGTCTGATGCAATCCTGAAGCTGTTTGCAGAGGGGATTTTTAAAAGCCACACTGCACTGTGAGGATTTCTCACACAAGCGACAACCCAAAAGGAAAAGTGAGTGTGTTTGTGCTGCATTATAGAAGCCGTCCTTGACTTACGGTGACAACTGACCCTAACGTTTCTGTTGCCAAGCACAACATTTGATAAGTGAATTTTGTCCCATTATGGCCAGCTTTTGAGAGACTCCTGCATGTATTCAATTTCTTTAATTAAAAAAGGAAGACAGACATAAAGGAGATGAAAAAAATAAATGATGTACTGATAGAGGGGAATATTTAGATATTAGATAACCTTTATTGTCATTTTTTTACTGTGGGCCCAACGGCACACAATAAAAATGAAATTTAGTTGCTTGCTCTCAAAAGTGTACATTTGCAGCTGAGGGGTGAAATGGGGGATCCTTGGTGCTCTATGAGCTTGGTTGTTTTCTTGCAGACTTTTCATCACTCAGCTAAGTAACATCACTGCGAACCACCCCTCCCTTCTGGCAACTGATGATGTTGCCTAGTTTGGTAATGAAATGCCTGCTAGAAAACAAACAAATTCCCAGAGCACCAAGGACCCCACAGTCCTCCTCCTCCTCCTCCTCCTCCTCCTCCTCCTCTTCCTCACAAACCACCACTCCCTTCTAGCACTGATGATGTTGCCTAGTTTGGTAATGAAACGTCAGCAAGAAAACAACCAAGCTCAGAGAGCACCAAGGGCCTCTCAAAAAAAAAAAGATGGATCTGGAAGCCATCCAAGTTTCTGAACAGATGCTCCCCGTGCTGCAATATTTAGGGCAGATCCCACTTTTCCTTTTTTCCCCCTCTGATCCACAGGTTGGGACTTTGCAGGCCATCCCTGCCACCCCGGGGGATCCTAAATAAAGCAGACAGAAGACAGTCAGGGCCTCTGTTCCCTTGAGGTTACTCTCTGAAGTGGCTGGGCTGCCCACAGATAAAACCAGCTCTTCCACTTCCATTTTCATCAGCTGTTGCCTTACCAGGTGTCAGATGCCTCTTTCCTTCAGGCTGGTGCAATCCTCAGTACTGGCGGTCCTCCATTTACAACAGTTCAGTTAGTGACCGCGTGAAGTTACAACGGCACTGAAAGATGTGACCTAGGACCGTTTTTCATACTTACGACCGCTGCAGCTTCCCCATTAGGGCCTTAGGCGGTCCCCAGGGGGCTGGCTGGGGTATTGACTGACAAGGGGGAAAACGTAGGGGAAGTTAGAGGACACAGAGCCCCCTGGCGGCTCAGTTGGGTATTGCAGGGTCCCTGACATCTCCAAGCACCAAATCTTAAGATAAGTATTAATGTTCCTGATCCATGAACTCAAGATGGACCAGGGCAGGGGTAGTCAACCTTGGCTCTTTTATGACTCGTGGACTTCAACTCCCAGAATTCCTGAGTCAGCACAGGAATTCTGGGAGTTGAAGTCCACGAGTCATAAAAGAGCCAAGGTTGACTACCCCTGGTATAGGGGAAGTGGGAGACTGGGAGATTGGATGGTTGGAGGACAAAAGCCAGGAAGTGCAAAAGCAGAATAGAGAATAACAGAGTCGGAAGGGACCTTGAAGGTCTTCTAGTCCAGCCCTCTGCTCAAGCAGAAAACCTTATCAGATTCCAGACAAACGGTGGTCGAATCTCTTCCTGCAAACCTCCAGTGAGGGATGAGGCTAGCCTTTCCACCGATCGTTCCCACCGAACAAATACTTGCATTCACTAATTCAAGGCCACGCGGGGGCTTCAGCTCCCAGGTCCAGGCGTCTTCAAGTTGCCAAGGGGTGGGGGGGGAACCCTCTCCCAAAGGCGGGATTCCCTCTCTGCCCCGATGGGATGGAGAAAGCCGAGAGAGGGACCCGCCACCCGAAGAGGCCGGCCCCGGCGCCCCGCAGGCAGCCAGCGGGAGGGGGCAGCCAGCGCCGTCGGAACGGCCCACCTGGAAGGTGCACCCGCCCGGCCCGCGGGACCCGGCTCCAAACCATCGGATGGGTGGGCGGGGACGCCTCCTGCTGGGCCCCGGACTCACCTGCGCCTTCCTTCCCGGCGCGCAGGTGAGGCCGGAGGGGCGGGGCGACGAGCCCTGCTCCCTGGACTCACCTGCGCCTTCCTTCCCGGCGCGCAGGTGAGGCCGGAGGGGCGGGGCGACGAGTCCTGGTCCCTGGACTCACCTGCGCCTTCCTTCCCGGCGCGCAGGTGAGTGGAGGGGCGGGGCCCAACCGGCGGCGTCCCCGCCCACCTGTCCGAGGCCGCGTCCGAGGCCGCCGCCCTCACCTGAGGCGCGCGAGAGGCCGCCGCGGCCCGCCCACCTGTCCCTGCTGGCGGCGGCTTCCGGCCTCGGGCCACTCCGAGGGCGCGGTCGCGGGCTCCGGGGCAGGGCGGCGGGGCCAGCGGCGTTGGATCGGCCGGAGGGCGGCATGGCTTCGGGCTCTTATAACGTCAGCCGCGCCTTCCACGAGGCGCCGCCGCCGCCGCCGCAGAACCGGCCGGACAACACGGCCTTCACCCAGCAGCGCCTGCCGGCCTGGCAGCCGCTGCTGTCGGCGGGCACGGTGCTGCCGCTCTTCTTCGGGCTGGGCCTCGCCTTCCTGGCCGTCGGGCTGGGCCTTCACTTCACCTCGGCGGGCATCCAGGAGCTGGAGCTGGACTACACCGGCGGGCCCGGCACCAACTGCTCCAGCTGCGCCAGCCTGACCAACAGCAGCAACCCGCGCCGGGTCTCCTCCTGCCAGTGCTGGCTGAAATTCCGGCTGGCCGCCGCCTTCCCGCTGCCCGTCTGCCTCTACTACCAGCTCTCCAACTACTTCCAGAACAACCGGCGCTACAGCATCTCCCGGGATTACGAGCAGCTCAGCGGGATCGCCTGGGCGCTGCGCCACCCCTTCCAGGAGTGCCAGCCCTACCAGTTCAACAGCCAGGGGGTGCCCATCGCGCCCTGCGGGTCGGTGGCCAACAGCCTCTTCAACGACACCTTTGAGCTCTACCAGCAGCTGCAGAACGGCTCTCTGGCCAACGTGACGTTGGATAAGCGGGGTATCTCCTGGTGGACCGACACCAACGTCAAGTTCCAAAACCCGGAGCCGGTCAACAACAGCTTGTGCCAGGCCTTCAGCGGCACGGCCAAGCCTCCCTTCTGGTCCCGGGAGGTCTGCAAGCTGGACCCCTACGACGTCAACAACACGGGCTTTGTCAACGAGGAATTCATTGTCTGGATGCGCACGGCTGCCCTGCCCACTTTCCGAAAGCTTTACGCCCGCATCCGTCACGACAACTTCTCAGGGGCACTGCCCCCGGGCACGTACTACCTGAACATCGGCTACAATTACCCCGTGCTGGCTTTCCACGGTACCAAGAAGGTCATCTTGAGCACCCTCTCTTGGATGGGGGGTAAGAATCCTTTCCTGGGCATTACCTTCTTGGTCCTGGGCTCTGCCTGTATCCTGGGTGGCATCCTCATGACGGTGGTCCATTTCAAATACCGGCACCAGATTGAGGATGAGGATGATTAGGAGGCCCAGGACATCTCATCATTCCTCAGGTGGCATGACGAAGGACTGGGGAATTCTGGGAGATGCTGGCGAAGGGCATCCAGCAAACTGGAAGCTGACATCTGAAGAGCATCGGGCTTCAAAAAGCTGTGAATAATTGGACTGTAGCAGGAAATGAGGTTGATGCTTCTCAACCCATGAAGAATAAATTCAGTCTATTGTGTAGCTTTTCTTGAAAATAATCCTCAGCTCCGTAATTTTTCAAGCCGGTGAAGTTGATTTCTTGTGAAATGGCAGAGGGAAATTGACTGCCATCATTTGAAATCATTAGAAGTTTGATATGAAGGGTGTGGCTAACACAACATGGCTTGGGAAACAGTGCTGTTTTCCTTATGAAGGTACTTCCTCCAAGCAAACTGATGATTACATATGAATGTTGGAAACTATCATTTAATTTGGATCTTAGATTTGGCCTTAAATGCTGGGGAGATAACCCAGCATTTGTTGTCTACGCAATATTTACTCATCGATAACTACTACGTGTTGCTGATCCCCTAGGATGGTATTGACATGTTTGGGGTAAATTCAGTTGGTTAATTAACAGTCTATTATGTAAATATAGCCAATGAAAAATGTATACAGGTAGTCCTCGACTTACGAACATAATTTAGCCCAAAATTTCTGTTGCTGATTTTGCAACCTTTTTTGACACAATTGTTTAGTGAATCACTGCAATTGTTAAGTCTGCAACACGGCTGTTAAGTGAATCTGACCTCCCCATTGACTTTGCTTGTCAGAAGGTTGCAAAAGGGGATCACACGACCCCGGGACACTGTGACCGTCATAAATATGAGTCAGTTGCCAAACGTGTGAATTTTGATCACGTGACCACGGAGAGGCTGCAATGGTCGCAAGTGTGAAAAATGGTCATAAGTCATATTTTTCAGTGCCGCTGTAACTTTGAACGGTCACTAAACAAACCGTTGCAAGTCAAGGACTGTAATAAAGACAAGCTTTAAGCTTGTTAGCCAACTGTTTCTTAGCTAAGAAAGTTCATGGAATAACTGACTTCTTATCACTTTGGGTGGAGTTATCTTCCCCACACACACACACCCTCTTGCATTTGCAATGATGTAGTTCAGGGGTCTTCAAACTTGGCCCTTTTATGACTTGTGGACTTCAACTCCCAGAATTCCTCAGCCAGGCACGTGTCCACAAGTCATAAAAGGGCCAAGTTTGAAGACCCCTGCTATAGACTATTTAGTCACTATGTAGTTAAATCTTATTTTTATCGGGGAGAATTTTTAGATTTTCATGAGAAATCAAGTTCCTTCTTAAGCTCGTGCAATCTCTGTGAAATGGTGTTGCTTTCCTTAAAAATCATACACTGCCCTAAAAATACTTGATATTGCTATGCCATTTGGGATGCCTATTTATGCCTATGATACTTGATAATTAATATGCCAGAATGGATATTCTGATGGGATATTTTATATTTCCAAAGTGATTCTCAGGTGTTTTATCTCTTTAATAATGCAACTCGTTTCTTATTGGAAGCTTTAAGTGTGCATTTTGGTGAAAAGTACACATCACGTTTCCCCTTTTCTGACTTGAAGAGTTTTCCAGAGTTTACCTTTCTGTATTTTAATCAAATAAATGACATTATGGTAATGAAATTGCATCGTGTTTTTATTGGCTGCTGAAGGAAGCCTGAGATAATGTGACAATTAATGGTGTGGATTTGAGTTGTGGGTTACAGGTCATTCTCGACTTACCACCACAACTGAGCCCAAAATTTCTGTTGCTAAGTGAGACAGTCTTTAAGTGAACTTTGTCCCAGTTTACAACCTTTGTGATTAAATGAATCACTGCAGTTGTTAAATTAGTAATACAGTGGTGAAGGGATTCTGGATTCCCCATTGACTTTGCTTGTCAAACGGTCCCAAAAGGGGATCACGAGACCCCGGGACACCATCATAAATTTGAGTCAGTTGCCAAGCCTGATCACGTGACCATAGTGATGCTGCAACGGTCATAAGTGTGAAAAACGGTCATATTTGGGGTGTTCATTCCAAACTCTGCACTTTAACTATGCACTCTGGGATGGACACCCTTCGGATGGTGAGGGAGTATGAACGGATTTACCAGAAAACATTGCAGACTCCAGGAACCATTTGCCCTTCAGTTTGGGATGCAGACAACATGGATTCACCCCCAACAGCCTTGCGGTGAAGGGACCCAGGGCAGAATTGGATGTGCATTATAATCAAGTGACGCGTCCTTCCAAAAATCACGCGTTAGGCTTCAAAAGGGAGCCACGGCCATTCTCTTGGGATAAGAGTAGAGTTCACAGTGTTTGAATTATGCTCTAGTTCAGTGGTTCTCAACCTTTTTAATGCAGCGACCCCCCCAACCGGTCGTAAGTCGAGGACTAAACCGGTCGTAAGTTGAGGACTAAACCGGTCATAAGTCGAGGACTACCCAACCGATTGTAAGTCGAGGACTTTCCCTGCCCGGGAGCGCCGCGCATGTGTGGTTCCGCCCCCTGCGCCGGCCGAGGCGTAGCTGGCAAGCGGCAGAGACGGAGCAGGTCGACCACCAGCTGGCCCAGCCCAAGGGAGGTAAGGCACCCGCCGGAAAAGGGGAAAAAAATGGTGGACAAAAAAATGGACAAAAAAAATGGCGGACAGCCTTGCTTGGCGACCCCCGTGAAATGGTCGATCGACCCCAAATGGGGTCCCGACCCACAGGTTGAGAACCACTGCTCTAGTTCTTGTAAAATAGTGTTAAGATAAAAGACAATATGGTAAGAGTCAGGTCAACCAGCTCTGCTGGTCTGGAAGCAACTTCAAGATCTTGCTCAAAGCCGTTTCCTGGTCCTTGTTTATTTACACAAGGCCTTTCCTCTCCATTTGACTTGCTGCTATCTTCAGACCAAGCAGATGTTGAGTAAAGTTGCAATTTCTCAAAAACGTGTCTGTCCTGTTAATCAAGTTCCCTTGGTCTGCTCCACAAATATTCTTTATTCTTCTTTTTCCTTCTTCCTTGCACATAGCAGAATGGGTATCTCAGTGAACAAGTGGAGATGGTAAGAGGCATTTTATGCCAGATCAACACATGAAACTAGTGGGCACCCTGGAAGACTCTTGAAGAGAAGAGTCGTGGTGGTGCAGTGGTTAGAATGCAGCATTGCAGGCTGACTCTGCCCGCTGCCTGGAGTTCGATCCTGACTGGTCTCAAGGTTGACTCGGCCTTCTATCCTTCCGAAATGAGGACCCAGATTGTTGAGGGCAAGATGCTGATTCTGTCAACATGCTTAGAGAAGCCTGTAAAGCACTATGAAGCGGTATATAAGTCTCAGGGCTATTGCTATTGCAGGCTGACTCTGCCCACTGCCAGCAGTTCAATTCTCACTGGCTCAGGGTTGACTCAGCCTTCCAAGGTTGGTAAAATGAGGACCCAGATTGTTGGGGGCAAGAGGCTGACTCTGTAAACTGCTTAGAGAGGGCTGTAAAGCACTGTGAAGCAGTATATAAGTCTAAGTGCAAAGTGCTATCTCCGATGCTTACTGCTTTCCTACGTTGTGCCACTAGGTGGCAGTAAAAGATAACCAGCTTTTTCTCTCCTGCTTCTTCCTTTCCTTTCGTCCTCTTTGAATTTTTTTTTTTAAATGTATCCACAGTTTTCTCCAGTTCACTTGTTCAATGTTGGGGTGTCTATTTTAACCTCACTTGGGGAAAAGCAATTACAAGTATTACTTTAATACCATTTAAGAGCAATTTTTTTGAAAGGGATTTCTGCTCCTCCCCAAAAGTGTAGCCACTAAAGGGACAATAACTCAGAATCCTGTTGGTTTAGATCCTCCCAAACTCCACTCCCTTCTAGCACTGATGATGTTACCTAGTTTGGCAATGAAACATCTGCAAGAAAACCACCAAGCCCAGAGAGCACCAAGGACCCCTCAGTAGTATTCCTACATGTACTAATCCTATTCTAATGGGCTGTCTGAATGAAGTCCCAGAGAGGTTGAGGACTTGGTTTCCAAAGAACAGTTTCTCACTTTCTCACTCTGACTAAAAGAGAGTGAAAGGATTCTTGTAATAAACTAGTTGCATTTCTGAAAATAAAGGAAAGCTTGTTCTCGTTAAGAGGTCAGCCGTGATATGGGACAGCAGCTATATTTGAACAAATCGCAGTGAAAAAGGTGCAGAAAACAAGGGCCGCTCTGTGCCAAGAGGATTTCATGCTGAGCAGATTCTGAACATTCAGTTCTTTCCTTGGAGAAACTAAAAAAAGCATCTGTTCCATTTATGATGAACGGTTGCGGGAATTGGGTCTGTCTAGTCTAACGAAGAGAAGAACGAGGGGCGATATGATAGCAGTGTGCCTGTACTCGAGGGGCTGTCAGAGAGAAGGGGAATACAATTGAACAAATTTGTACAAATTCAGTTGTACAAATACAACTGAAACATAAGTCGACCAGAAAAGATGCTATATGTCAGCGATGGCGAACCTTTTAGAGACCGAGTGCCCAAACTGCAACCCAAAGCCCACTTATGCATCGTCAGGTGCCGGGTGGGTGTGGTCCATTGGGTGGGTGTGGCCCATTGGGTGGGCGTGGCTGCGGTGGTAATAGCAGACTGGGTGGGACTAAAAAGTTCAATCAATCAATTCCAACTTTGCAAGATCTTTTTTTTTCCCGCGAGAAGTTGAAATTGACTGATTGAACCTTTTTTTTTTTTTGCACATGGCGGCGGAGGCCTAAAGCGAAAAGGTTTTATAAAACCCAGCTGAAGGCCTAGGACTGGGGCGACGGTGCGCGTGCCCACAGAGAGGGCTCTGAGTGCCGCCTCTGGCACCCGTGCCATAGGTTCGCCACCACTGCTACAGTATATGTTGATGTTATTGTTCTTTGTACACAAGAACACAAGAAAAATCTTTACATTCAACCTCGTATGTATCGAAAGTATTAAGAATGATATTCGTTTAAGGTTGCTACTGGAAGAAGATCAAGGAAATATATCATTAACTAATATATTGATTATGGAATTATAGAAATTAATTATGATTGACTGTT